CAAAGCCAGAACATCTTACTATTCATCACTGATTGAAGAAAATAAGAACAACCCCAGGTTTCTCTTCAGCTCTGTAGCCAGGCTGACAAACACTTTGTTTCTTTAATATTTCCAAATGATTTCCTGGTTTCAGTTTGGTGTTCAGTGTCTTCTCTTTTTAATCTCCCTCCTTAAAAACTGTTTGCAAGCACATGTCCCCATCATGACTCTTCTTTCCATCAGCAGAGCCCAGGACCACAATACAGGAAGTCTAGGCCAGCTCGCTCTTTAAAAACTCTGATCTCTGATCCTGTGAGTATGACCCAGAAGGCAATGCAGAGTTCAGATGGAGCCTACATGAGTGAGGGAGTCTCCCACTTCTGTTCCCACTTCACCTTTGCAGGCCCAGCCTCTATAAGCCACATTCATGACAGCCCTCTAGATTGGTGCACTTGTTGTACCAGGGTTAATTTTAGGGGCCTCGGGGCTCTGTTAAATTTAAAGGGTTGAACTATAAGAGCTATTTACTCTAAAATGGGTTAATACTCAAATGATAATAACAGTCACAAAATAACTAATTAACCTACTCTACCGCTGACTTCGATCTCATCTCGGGGAGGAGAGAGGTTGGAGTAGAGACTGAGCACGCCCTGGCCACCGTCGCCTTCATCTCTGTGTCCCGTGCTGAGGAAAATAATCTAACAAGAAGGCAGGATTCCCTGAAAATTCGATCCTTCGGGAATACAGCAGGACTATAAATCTGCTCACAGTTGGGAAAAGCTGCAAGAAGCTGGAAACGTGTAGATCCGTTCCAAACGATTCTCATGTTTCCTAATTTTTCTGATCTCGTAATCTAGGGCGTGTTGGGTGCCCCGAGCGTAATATATTGACGATTTGTCATCTAGCATGAAATGTTACGCTTTGGGAGTGAGAACGTGTTGACCAATAATGTCTCTGCCAAGTGCTTAGGCTCCACCCGCCTCTTCTCTCACTGTCTAGACATCCAATAACGTTCCTTAAGTAAAGTCATGTGATGTGCAGCCACACCCTGTCATTCTTTTCCCCACATACTTGATTTTAAAACGGAGTTTAAACTTTGCCATCCCTATGAAAGGTCAAAGTTGAATCACATCTCCAGACACAAAATCGAGACATCTATGATGTTAGAGGAGCATGAGCTCAGACTCGGTGCCATGTCCCCCAGCTCGTCCCGCGTTGCTGCAGGGGGTCTTAGCATAGTCCCAGGGTGGTGGCATTTCCCTGACCTTGTCCTCCATCCCTGGTCTTCAATGCTGCTGCATGTCCGCTCCATCTCCTTGGAAACAGGAATCCGTGGCCCAGTAATACACATGGTCTATCCGTCTCCTGCATGCTGTGGTTTCAGGTGCAGTCAGGGTACCTGCAGCAGTTAAAGTCCAGATCACCCTGGCATTCAACCACAACTCAGAGAAAGCAGCTCCTGGGTCTGTCATCCCTCCAACAAAAGATGCTCCAAAGTGATATATGTAGCAGTCAGGGCAGCTGGTAGCGAGAGCCTTCATACCACACGGTGTACAGCGCGCCTCCAAGGGAAGCATGGTCATCAGGGTCGATCTGGTCTGAGTCCCGTTCTCTCTTTCTGTCTCCCCTTTTTTAATTCTCTGTTACGAAGGTCACTTCCTCTGCCTCGCCTCCATCTGTGCCCCTTATCAGAGAGGCTGCTCCTCCCTTTTTTTCATTACTGATGCTAA